TCGCGTGGTCACGGATCACGTGATGGAGACGCAGCAACTGGTTGGGCCCTTCGATTTGTCCACGCACCATGCGTGTCGATTGAAGATGTACCACGAAGGCGGACGTGAGGTCACAGATGACCTTGTGGATCAGATCGCCTTCGGCGATGGCGGTTTCCACAGTGCGTGTTGCGGCGGACGGCTCTACGAAGTTATGGTCATGTGGCTCGGCCTGGATGCCGAGGAATCGTCGTGGGAGCCGGCCGCCAACTTGCTTGAAGACATCCCGGTCGTGCTGCGCAAGTGGCGCGCCACCCACAAGGACGATGGCCATGTCGCGGACATGATGGCCAACCTTAGGAGAGGGAAGTGTTCTGCGGTGCAGGGCAGTCGGGTTCGCCCGATTGTTTGACCCACTGCGGCCGCGGTGGCTGTTTAGTACCGCGGCTCTAGTAGCACTGTTGATGACCTAGATTGATAGTATTACTTTGTATGCTAGTCAGTGGCCACGTGGCTCGTAGCCCCTGGGGCTTCCTGAGGTAATACAGTCTTGGATTTGCCTTACGAAGTAGGTAACTTTGCGGTCGGAAGCCGTGAAGGACGAACACCGACGACGGCCGTGGGAAAGCTAGCAAATCGCCTCATGCAAGTGGAGCTGGATGGTGGCGGTGAGGAAGACGATGGTATCCAGTGCACAACGCCATTGCCGTGTTCGTTCGACTTGGAGGCGCAATGCGGAGTGCGGGCGGCCGTTGGGGAAGTTCTCGCCACGAAGCGAAATTTTGAATTCACGATAATATATCTAATGTAGAGTTGTTTTAGTAATTGTTCACCTTATTTGATCAAACGTTCCAATCACTTGCTTGCATCACCCTAGCCGTGGTTGTTTGTGAGGCCTTGTGCTATCAGCGACATGTCTTGATAGGCTTCAATCTCGAGGACATGCAGTGTGAAACACAGCGACGATGTCAACTTGGATGGAATATTTTCAAAACGTATTCAAGAGGAATTGTCTGGAGTTTCTTCCGTGAAATTCCCATATCTCAGATCCAAGGCATCATTCAGGTTATCTGAGGAGTGCAACATAGCGGAATGATCTGGGTGTTTGCGTTACAACGGAGGAATCGAATTCAAGGAACCTAAGATATGCCGAAATGTGGATTTTTACGCACATGAGATATACAGTGCGCGCCATAATGATAGGCCACCTGGTTGTTGTGGTCCAATCACGTTGAGAGACATCGAATAGGCTGAGGCCTTTTATCCAAACAAATTCAATCAGTTTCTGGGGTGCGGAGCACAAAAAGTTCGGAAAAATGTCGAGTTTCTTCCAAAAATCGAGATGATCCAAGAAGTCCACAAAAATGACGCGAAAAAATGATAGGCCGCTTCACCAACTTTGCATAAAGTAACGATGAATATGAGTGCTTTTTATTTGGAAACTTGCCACCGACACCTTTGGACCATCCTCGAGCTGCCCGGACTACACAAAAGCCGCTCTACTTCCCAAAAGCGCATGGGTGGGCGAATAAACTCACTGAGGTCGAGTAAGCCCATATTCTTGCATTTTTCACCGCTGGGTGGACCCCTGGCGCAAGTGGGGTTGAGATCAGACGCTCACGCACCGTCGTTCGCAATTACCTGGCTAACATGGGTTCTTCTGGGACAGCTAAGTCCTCTTGTAGACCCAGCAAACTTACGCCAACAGTAGAAGATTGTTGTTTCGGAAAGCTGCGAAAGGTAAATTGTCTTGCCGCTCGCTCAAAACCTCCCTTGACCTCCCGAAATCCCTCCGACATGTCCAAGCACTCCTCCATGGCCACCCGAAGTTTCAATTCAAGAAGCGCCTTAGTCAGCCACCTCTGACGAAGGCCCACCGTGAATCAAGGCTCCAGTTTTCTTCTCAAGACATGAAAAATCAACAAGATTGGGATTCTGTCACCTTCTCAGATGAAAAGAAGTTCAATCTTGATGGTCCTGATGGCTGGCAATGCTACTGGTATCATTTTGATCACGAAGAGCAAGTGTTTTCTCGGCGCCTATTTGGGGGAGGATCTGTTATGGTGTGGGGTGCCATTTCTTCCAAGGGCCTTTCGGAGTTGAAGATTATTGAAGGCAAGCAGATGAGCTACGACTATATCGTTACTCTCTCCGACTTCATGCTGCCTTTTGCACATTAGCATTACGGCCCTGACTTTACGTTCCAGCAAGACAACGCAACCATTCACGTCAGCCGTGAAACAAAGAAATGGTTTGAAGACAATGAAATTGAGGTTATGGAGTAGCCAGCTCATTCTCCAGACCTTAACCCTATCGAGAACCTCTGGGTCATTCTTGCTTGTCAAGTTTACGCGGACGATAAGCAGTTTTTGGATCGAAAATCCCTTGTGGAAGCGTTTCAGGATGCTTGGCTAAAAGTAAGCCCTGACATCATCACTAACCTCATTCAAAGCATTCCAAAGCATTGCTTGGGCGCCTTTGAGAAGAAAGGCAACAAGACGAAGTACTGAAATCAATGGACAACAAAAATATTCTCAAGTGGCCTATCTTTTCTTCACCAAAAATCAAACACGTCACTAGAATTTCAATATTACGTGCATAAAATGGCGTTGCAATACAGGAGACTGACTTACTGCAGTTGTCTAGGGCTTGAAACTCCATACAATGACTCGTCGAAAAAATAAACTTGCTGGCCCATTATGCAAAAGGTATAGATTTTGAGGATTTTGAGGGTGGTCCAAAGTGATAAACGAGGTGAAAAAATAATAACTGCTTCTCTATTAAAAAGCTTCAATTGATTAAGTATGGGAGCGGTATTTGGTATTTTTGCTGGATTTTATTATTGGATTTGTAATGAAATTCTCTACAGCTATCTGGTGCTCACAAAACGAGAGTGGCCTAACTTTACAGCGCGCACTGTATTCTGTCTGCCAATTTAGAGAAACTCTCGTAACCTAAATATACGGCTCTGCATAGTTTTTGATGAGTTTAGTGTACAGTATTCAAGGCCAGAGGTAAATATTTGGAATACGAAAGTTATTTACTTTGGAAGACTACATACTTCACTGAAAATGCACATTCCCGAAATGCAATTCCAGAGTAGTTGAGAGTATGACCGCCACGAATGCACTCTACACGATGCGAAACCTCAACACCTTGATCTCCATCAACGGCCTCGTGGACTGCCGACTCGAGCTCGTCGTTCATGTATATTCCTCTTGGTCGAGGAGCCATGTCCATATCGAATGTGATATTCAATCGTATCATGATATGCAGATGATGCCGCCAATTTTGTTGCAATGTAATAGGCTAGTTTTTGCTCCTCATACATTGGCACGTACAGTAAGTACCTCATAAATAGGTTATTTTACGAATTTTTGAGGCTGTAATGGATTTCTCCTAATTTGACTGTGATACTTCAGCCTTGATTGGGTTGTCACGAGGGGGCAAAGTAGGCCCAAGCACTTATGGAGTCGGAGAAGCGAGGAGTAGAGTTGTGCGAGAGCCCAACAGGACCAGAGTGCACAACAGGAAAGAACGAAGAGTAAGATTAGAGACGAGTTGTGCAGGGACTGTTCACACCACTCATGCACTAGCTATGCGGTCGCGACTTCTTATTGGCTGGGGCACCAAGTGAAGACTGTTGATTGGCCACAACATCAGGTGACTTTTGATTGGCCAAATAGTTTCTCCCTCTTAACTGCGGGTGAAAACACCTTGCAAAGAGCGTCCCCTTGACATGGGTGAAGGTGTGTTGACAGTGTGCTGACAGCTGATATTCATCCCGACGGCCAAGAGAACTTTTCGTTCATTACCATCATTGGAATCTATACCCCTCGAGGGAGCTCATGGGTTGTACCGACTCCGTGGCATTCTATCAATTGGCGGCAATCCAAATGTTCGTGGTGTTTCGATTTCATGGAGTTCTCAGCAGGTTGGGCGACTTGCTCTGATCGAGTCGTTGGAGGATGAACGGTTGTGTCTGTTGGCCAATGTCCTTGGTATTTGCAAGGTCTAAGGCTGTCGAGGCTTGCAAGCGTATTGAGTACCCGTTGTTGCATCTCGATTTCCTTCTAGTCATGGACCGCAGGAATTTGGTGCAAATCTTCCACCCCTGGGGTGGCGGTGCAAACATTGCCAAGGACCAGGCCAACAAGCAATAACGTTAGCCAAGGTAACGTCAACGTTCCCTACGTGATCAAGCGATCTCGTCAGACAAAAACATTAGGGGGGCCTCCTGAGTCGGTGGGGCATGGCGAACCGCGGCGCCAGAGTTCCTGTGTCTATCTACTGGTCCAGCTGGTGTCGCCGTTGCGGTCAAACAATTTCGAGCGGCTCGCCCCGTATGAGATCGTCCGCGCTCAGCGCGTTTGTCACAGCCATGAGGTGCCAGCCGACAAAGACGTCTAAGCCCTCGTCATGTTGTGGTCAGTTGACAAGAGATGTTTTAATGCCGTCGAATGCATGATGGATCCCGAGCAGCTCTGTGAAATACAACACTGGTTATGCGTGGTCTCTCATTCAGAATTTGGAGTTCACCGTCGCGATTACGCTACCAAGCAAACCATCTCGGGGCTGTTTATTGGAAGGTGTGCATCCGTCGTCGAGGATTTCGTCAAGGTCTGCATGCACTGTATGGTAGTGGAGCCCCAGTCACTGGAACAGCCACTGCACACAGACCGACCTAATGAGAAGCATTCACCTCTAACTGGCTCTAGATACGGTCGAACTAACAGCTGGCGGTACCTGCTAGTCGTCAAGGACGACATGAGCGGGTATGTCTGCCTCAAATCGTACAGAGACGACGGCACTGTTGGGCTGGTGCGGGCATTTTGGCGTCCTATTGACGTGGGTTAGCGCGTGTGGCTCCAACTTTAACATCCAAGTGATGGATGAGCGTGTCGAACGCTTCCTTGCCGTCTGTGGTGCGGGCATGCGGCGAATACGTACACTGTATTTGATTTGATAGAGATGCCACACCCAACCATCGCTGGCAACCTTTTAAACCGGCATTTTCAGTTTTGCGGGGTGGCGAACATGACTGCGCTCGTAGGATTGCTGGTGGCTCTTGTTGTGGCGGTGGCTCA